GATTGCTGCACAGATGGTTGTTCTTCTGTAAGGTTCTTCTCTCTACACAGAAATACGCTGGAGCTCAGACAGAGTGACCATCAAGTTATTGATCACCTCCCTGACTAAAGCCCTTCTCCCCTGATCACTCAGCTTAGATGGCCTGGCTAGCTCTAGGAAGAGTCCTGGTGGTTCCAAACATCTTCCACTTATGGATGATGGAGGCCACTGTGCTTATCGGAACTTTCAGAGCACCAGAATTGTTTCTGTAACCTTCCCCAGCCTTGTGCCTCGAGACAATCCTGTCTCGGAGGTCTACGAACAATTCCTTTGTCTTCATGCTTGGATTGTGCTTTGACATGCTGTTAACCCTGAGACCTTATATAGACAGGTAAATGCCTTTTTAAATCATGTACAATCAACTGAACTTACCACAGGTAAACTCCAATTAAGCCGCTGAAACATTTCAACAATGATCAGTGGAAACAGAATGTACCTGAGCACAATTTAGAGCTTCACGGCAAAGGCTGTGAATACTGATGTACATGTGATTTTTCAGGGTTTTTATTTTTAATAAATTAAAAAAATATATATTTTATCACATTTTCATTATTACAATGTGTGTAAAACTCTGAGAAAATAAATGAATTTATTTCATTTTGAAATAAGGCTGGAACATTAAAAAATGTGGAAAAAGTTAAGCACTATAAATACTTTCCGAATGCACTGTAACTACTAGAAAAAAAAGAATAACGAATGGCCTTTGAGGTGATGTGCTTCAAAACAAGTTTGCTATATGCTTCAGCACCAAAACACGAGTTTCCATGTGATTTTGTGGATTTGTTAAATAAAATAATAATTAACCTAAATAAAGTTAGTTTTAGAAGCCTATATTATATTGTTATCACTATTAATGACACATTTAAATAAGCAGGAAATCCTTTTGCAATGTACTCGCAGCACCGAACATGTGCCCAGATTACTGAAGAACAAACTCTGTTAGAGGAATGAGAGAATCAGGCACTTGTTGTGAGAATGTAGATGTCTGCATATTTGTGCCAGTCTGTGAAATAAAACAGCTTAAAACATATTAGTATTTTAGAAAAACAGTTCAAGTTTGCATAACTAATGATTGATCGTATCCATAAGTAAATATGCAGCCTAGTTTTTGATTACTTGACCAACGCATTAAGGCAAGCATCCGCTGAGATAACCGAGAAATTATGTGCTCCTATTGTGCAGTGTCACCCACATGACGGAACTCGTCGTGAAGAACAAGAAAAAAGTAAACCTGCTGGACTTTCGGCGGTGGTGTCGTGAGACATTGCAGGCATGGTATCAGTTATCGTGAACTATGCCACATTGCACGACTCTTTTGTCACAATGCCCATTTGTCGATTATGAATCCCCACAACACCCTATCAAGGAAATCATGCCGAAATTGTGCCAAAATCGTGTGATCTTAAGCCTAAATTTAACATAAAAGGTAAAACTTATCCCTTCACTCTGATTGGAATGTTGTTAGATGTTGATCCAGGAACATGTCCTACTTGGTGATACCACACCTCTCATGTACAAGCATCACATGTCCGAAAGGGTAAAATATACGGCGCACCATGACAGCTGGATATGGCTCACAGTGGTTGTTTTCACACCAGAACGCGAGTCAAACTTGCCGGTGTCTGAATTTTTAACGACCTCCACAAAGCTGATAAATTTAGGCAGCTATTTAAAATGCGGACGCCACGCATGCAAGCACTTCGAGATCAGTTACTTACAGAGGGCCATATAAAACGGCAGGTGGCAAATCATGGGTGCCATTAATCAAAGCGCAGGCATTAGTGGGGTATGTCCTTCTCTGTGCTTTGCTGATCTTTCGGCCTTACGTTGACCCCAGGGGTCAGCGGAGGTGATGGGACATTAGCACGGACACTAGGCTAAATCTATACAGTTTTCTATCTATCAAAATTAGCCTGTAGCTCTGTAGCTCATGATCCGGCTAATATTAATGTTATATGTTTTCAGCTGTAACCATCAACAAAAAGCACTTTAGATCTATTATTACAGTAATTGCAGGTGGACAGTTTTCGGTGTCCAGCTCATCTCATGTCCCTGTGCGCAGTCAATGTGAATGATGATAAAAGCGTGGAGGGGTTTAGATTTCAGAGCCGCTATGCTAAGACTTCACAATTAGGTCATAAGAACGCAACAGGCATGAGAACAGAAATAAAAATGCCCCTCTAAAGGCGCTTGAGGAATGAATTCATTACCCTTTTGTGACACGGACTGTCGAACAATCTTGCGCTCATACTTTGTCCATAGCGAGTCTGGAGAGAGACTACGAAATTAATAAGCGGACCGTTAGAATCAATCAGGGGAAGATTTATGGACACAAGCGGAGAACATGTGGCTTGTGAATTATGGTACCAAAAAAACAAGCTAAAGGAAAACCAATCCAAGCTTGGCACACATGCACACACACATTGCTGTTCAACATGTTTGGCGTCAGTAAGATGCTTTAAATTGGTAGTAAGAGTTACAAAAATATATTTCAAATCTTTTGCTAATGTTAAAGGAGTATAGTTCATCAATAAATGAAAAATCTGTCCTCGTTCCAAACCTGTTGGAGTTTTGCAAGAGGATATACTGAAAAATGTTAGAAACTGTAACCATTGACATTCATAGTAAATGTTTTTCCTACTATGGAAGTCAATGGTTACAGGTTTCTAACACTCTTCAATATATCTTCATTTAAGCTCAACAGAACAACAAAACTCCTTTATAACAAGTCAAATATTCCTTTTTTTAGTTTTTAGGATGTGTAATGAAAAGTTTTTTGAACACTAAATGAATATATTCAAATATACAATAGATAGAATATAAAATAGGATCATGTGACACTGAATTTGTCCCAGCCAAGCTAACCACTGAGCCACTGTGCAGCCATATTAAAATCATTCATTTATTTTCTTTTTGGCTTAGTCCTTTTATTAATCTGGGGTTACCACAGCAAAATGAACCGCCAACTTATCCAGCACATTTTACGCAGCTGATGCCCTTCCAGTTGCAACCCATTACTGTAAAACATACACATACACATTCACTATGGACAATTTAGCTTATTAAATTTACCTGCATCACATGTCTTTGGACTGTGGGGAAAACCCGGAGGAAACCCACATGAACACGAGGAGAACATGCAAATTCCACACAGAAATGCAAATTGACCCAGCCGAGGCTCGAACCAGCACCCTTCTTGCTGTGAGGTGATTGTGCTACCCACTGCACCACCGTGATGCCCTCGCCATATTATATATTAGATATAATATTTTATAATAAAAATCGTCAGAAACTAGAAACCATTGACTTACTATTATTATTATAATTATTATTTTACTATGGAAGTCAATCGCTAGGAAAATCAGCTTTGCCAAAGAAAATAAAAAAATATATATTTTAAAAAAGTATAATTACTTCCTCTTACACCTAGATCCATCTATAATCGCAGGTGATATTTCAGCCACACCATGTTGGTGTTTCTTAACATCTAATTAAGCGGTCATTAATTAGCGCAGCGCTCAACCCCCAACCTGGAGGACCAGGACATACACTACAGTCAATTTAGCTTACCCAATTCACCTGGAGCGCATGTCTTTGGACTTGTGGAAAACCCACATGAACATGGGGAGAACATTCAAACTCCATACAGAAATGGCAACTGACCCAGCCGGGACTCTAACCAGCAGCCTTCTTGCTGTGAGGCGTCAGCGCTACCCACTGAGCCACCATGCCTTCCTACTATTACTTTTGTTTACAATATTATAGCATATATTTGATCAAATATACAGTATAATGTTACTTTATTTTTATTAAATAATTTGCTAACACTTTACAACAAGGTTCCATTACTTAAAGGGAAAGTTGACCAATAATTAAGTCACCCTCAAGTAAATCCAAACCTTTATGAGTTCCTTTCTTCTATTGAACACAAAAGCAGATATTTCAAAGAATGTCAGAAACCTAGCTATTGACCTCCATAATAAATCAAATAAAAAATTAAATTAAAAAAATAATAATAATAATAATACATCAATGCATCAATACATTCCAGTTTCTGATATTTTTTATATTAAATGTTATATCTAATATATGATATGGTGGCTCAGCGGTTAGCACTGCCGCCTCACAGCAAGAAGGTCGCTGGTTCGTGTCCCAAGTTGGTATTTCTGTGTGGAGTTTGCATGTTCTGCCTGTATTTGTGGGTTTCCTCCGGGTGCTCCGGTTTCCATAACAAGTCCAAAGACATGCGCTATAGGCGAATTGGATAAATTATAATTGGTCAAAGTGTGTGTGTTTGGGTGAATGAGTGTGCATGGGTGTTTTTCAGTGCTGGATTGAACTCTGAAATAGAGATTAAGCCAAAGGAAAATGAATGAATATATAATATATATCTAAATAATATCTACTTAAGAAAGAAACTAATAAAGGTTTGGAACGAGTAGCCTAAAGTAAGTAAATGATAACAGTTTTTATTTGAACCTGTTTTTTTTTCTATATCAATATTTTAACATATATTCTATGTTTTTTCTATATCTGTTTGCACAATAATAATTGAACCAAAATATATTAATTTATTCATGTTTTTAATCGATTAATTTACTATTTAAAAAGTTACTGTAATTCCTTAGGCCTATGTTATTATTGTATCTTTACTGGAGGTGCCCTTTTTTTGGTCTGATTCTGCAGTGGCCTGAAGGGTTCAGAGACGTAAAAGCGAACAAGATACAGTCCGAACACAAATAAATGACAGCAATGCAAGGCATGTGTAATCCTGCCTCACAGGACACCATGACAAAAGGACGAACATTCACACATTCACTCTCTTACTCACACACACCAGACACGACACGAGGAAACAGAGAATGGTGTGTGTGTCCCTGAAGAATAATAATAAGCATGTTTGTGGTCTTAAAACATGACATAGTTAAGGCTAATAATGGAAAACACTTTCTAAGACGAGGTTTTTATTTATTATAAACCATTTATTTACTAAATTCATCATTTCTAATACAGTGTAACATATATAGTCAAACGTGATGTAAATAAACGAGTGATTTTGTGTGTATGGTAAATATGGAGGTGTGATACATTCGGTGGTCAGACAGACAGACTGAAACACAACACTGTAAGAGAATCTCTCAGTCTGCGTATGGAATCGTCAATATCCCTCGCCGTACAAACACCCACTGGGATTTTACGAGGTAGACGAGGAAGAGACCAGTTCATGTTACCAGTTCAGCTTTAGACCAGTTTGGTTCATTTGAGTCATGATTAAACTGACAAGGCATACTTTTGGTAGTCACGTAGCGAATATTAAAATACACATGGAATGTACCATTTAATACACCTCATTTACAGTTTATTCACATATTTAAAATATGCTAACAGTGTGTGTGCTCCCCTTGAAATAATAATGAATCCTCTTGTATGTCATTCGATAATTACTTTGACTGTAGTTCTGAAATTCAGCTCAACAGCGCCATCTTGTGATACAATCTAGCGCTTCAAACTCTTACCTTCACTGATGTAAACGTTTCTAAACTTCACAAAGCATTAACATTTAATCTATAAATTACACTAGCATCTCTTTTCATGCTACTAGTGCCCATTTTCCATTCAATTTTAGTACTCAAATGTTTTTAGTGCCATTTATTCCTCAGGTACTAGTGACTATATAAGATAGCTACTAGCATTACTTACTGGTGTTCATTTATTAGATACTGGTACACATTTATTAGATACTAGCACTTACTTATTAGATACTAGCACTTACGCATAAGCTAGTGGGATTAATTTATTAGATACTGCACATACTCATTAGCTAGTGGTATTCATTTATTACAAACTGCCTGGTCCTACTAATTTATTAGATACTATAATTTTTTAATTAGATACTAGAATTTATTCATTAGGCACTGGTTCTTATTATTAAATACTAGTGCTTATTTCATTCATCATGTTATTTTTATGCTTGCCATTGTCTTCTATAGCAGTGTTTCAAACCATATTCCAGGAGGACCACCAGCACTGCATGTTTTTGATGTCTCCTTTGTCTGTCACACCCATTACAGGTCTTTCAATCACTGCTAATGAGCCGATGATCTGAATCAGCTATGTTTAGTTGAGGAGACATGGAAAATGTGCAGAGCTGGTGGTCCTCCAGGAACACGGTTGAGAAACACTGATCTATGGTAATCTGTCATTGAGATATCAACTATTCAGTTTTGACTGGTATGTTTAGACTTTTGACTAGTCTGTATTCCAGCTGCGACTATGGCATAGTTTATGAATTACTAGTAATTCATTAGGTACTAGTACTTATTTTGTTTTTAGATTGTTGTATGTATTTATTACTGTATTTATTAGATACTCTTGCCTATTTAATAGGTACTAGTAATTATTTTTAGGTAATTATTTTAATTGAGTTCCCCTTTTTGACTAGTCGAAACATATAACGAGATAAAAAAAACTGTTGTGAATAATAAAATACGAAATGTTACTTGCAATAATTATAAAGCATTTGAGTATCTAATAATATTAATAATAATAATAATAATAACAATAGGTACTAGTGTCCAATGAATAAGAACTACTTATACTTACATATAAGAATTAGCATTTATTACTGATTAGACACTCATACCTATACAAGTACTATTATAGTATATAATGTGATACAAGTACAGGTATCTAATAACAGGTACTGGTAAATAAAATAAAAACTACTAGCATTTAAAAACATGAACTTGTGACAATAAGAATACACACAAGTCAAAACTTAACAGTTAATATCTCAATGGCAGATCCTTATTGAAGACAAGGGCAAAAGGTAAAGCTTCCCAGTGTTTAAAAGACGTCTAATAGATGTCTAAACATAGTCATCTCGGCTAAAACAAGGCTAAATTTGGCCTCTCAGAGAAAATCTAATAGACGTCTCAGAATAAGCCAAAAGCAGACTAGTTATCTAAAAAACAGAAATGAATCTCTTTACGAGTCTGTTGATTTGACGACTAGTCTAGTTTTGGGCTATTCTTAGATGTCTATTAGATTTTCACTGAGAGCCCAAGTTTAGCCAAGCTGTCTAACTTTGGATGCCTATAAGACGTCTATTAAACACAATATGTTTGCTTGGTTGTTACTAGTGAAAACAAAATAATACCTTGTCATTATTAAATTAAGCACTAAAATCTAATAAACGGAAACAATTGTGTAATAAACAACCAAGTGTCTATTTAATCGGTCTAACAAATAAGAGCATAAGTACCTAAAGAATACTAAACAGTCTTTTAAATTATGCATCTAAAGCAGCGTTTCCCAACCCTGTTCCTGAAGGCACACCAACAGTACAGATTTTCTACCTCTCCCTAATCAAACACACCTGAATCAACTCATCAGAACATTAGAAAAGACTCCACAACCTGTAATAAATGGGTCAGATAAGGGAGACGTCCAATGTACTGTTGGTGTGCCTCAAGGAACAGGGTTGGGAAACACTGATCTAAAGAATAAGTGCTAGTAGATAGTAAGTGCTAGTTCCTAATGGAAAAGGGCACTAATATAGAAAAATAAGTACTAATATGTTTCATAGATTAAATGTTAAACGGCTTCCCATACTCAAGATATAAACAAACAAAACAGCACCACTGTTTTTTTTGGAAGCTTCAGATACCTGGACTGCCACTAGAATGTGCTGAGAGCCTGATTACTTGTCCCTGTTGACCTGTACCTGGACCCTGCTTGTTCCCTGTGCAGTAGCCATATCTTTATGAGCTGGAAGGCACAATCACATTTTCTCAAAAGTGAGTTGGTGTCCACAGGTTTGACACACTTTCCTGTAGAGATCTTCCTCTTCATCCAGCAGCTCGTCAGGGCCGTAGTCGTGCTGATGAATGCTGGTGTCTTTCTTAAACATACTGCTCCTCACCGTCCGCCTCAGCTCTGACAGACATGGACAAATCAACACTGTGAGCAACTCTAGTCATTCTCAATTAGTTCATTTAGTCTATAATCAATACAAACACAAAAACAGTCATTTTCAATTGATTACTACTTATGAAAGTGTTAAAAATCGGACCCTCGTTTTCTGTTTTTGTTGGTTTTATAGAAAACAGGGAAACACTAAACATGCTTTAATATGTTGTGTGTTTTATTATAATATACAGAGCAGCATTATAACAGAACCAGCATTAACCACAGCACTGACTGTGGGCTATATGATGCGTGTTGTTTTTGAACCCAATTAAGGACTAAATGTATGCTGTGTGTTGTTTTTCTGTAAGTAGTAACATATCAGAAACTGTGATGGTCTGAATATGTTCATATATGTTGCATTTATTTATTTTATATAATTGCAGATGTTACAGAAGGCTATTTTTCAATAGAAAGGTTAGTAATGAACATTTGTACACAAGCATTTATATGTATAAAGAATCTGATTTGTGAGAAGTTTTTCTCATTTGATATGTGATACAACTTTACTTTGACATTTCCTCGAGCGAGAATGACGTTGACTGAAACTTTCTGTTCGAGTTACCATTAGTTCCCTTTTGGCAGTGGAAACGTAAGCCTGATAAAGGTGACCCGTACAGACCCGTACCATACCACTCAAAAAGACCAAAAGACGCATTGGGTGTGAATAAGCAATTACTTTGCTTCTTACTGCCATGATGATAAGTTTTGAATATTTTAGCTCATCCATGAACATGATTTTTTCAGGAGTCTCGTTGGATGAAAAGAAGACCATCAATCTACGCTTTTGTTTGTAGTGAATATGCACCCTCTAGTGGCGAAAATTACATATTGTGCCTTTAATTATATCTATACAAAAATAAGTGCTCAAGAGTGATTAATATGTTGTGTGTTTTATTATAATATACAGAGCAGCATTATAACAGAACCTTAACATGGTTTTAATATAATAAATAGTCCACCGGTAAGGTTTTAACCCACGTGATCACAAGAAGCAGAAGCAGTGAACTGTGGCATAATAAATGCTCCGCTGCTTTTGTGCTGCATCAGCCTTTCCAATGCACTACTTTTCTAGTGATTTTATAAGTAAATGGCCTATTTCCACTGAGTGGTATGGTATGGTTCGTTATGCTTTTATGGCCATTTCCACTGTCAAAAGGTACCAAAAAGCAAACCGTACCATACCAGTTTTTGGGTACCCTTTCCAAAAGGCAGAGCTAGATGTGCAGCTGCACGCTATTGGTTTACAGAGAAGCATCACTTGCGCATACACAAGCCAGGAGAATGAAAACAAAAGAATTTTTAAATACACAGCCGAGACATAACACTGTAATAACAAGCCATGGTCAACCTGAGCTCAAACAAACATTGCCGTCATCTTGATGAACAACCACATAGCCAAAAAGAGCTAAATCTGCAGTGTCCTAATGTTGTTTTACGAGGCCGTCTAAAAGCGCGAGCGGTTTCACCTTCTTCAGAGATCTTGCGTGCCCTCACTGCGTGTCTATATTTGAAATAACAAACTTATTGAGCTGATGATAATAACGTGCGTGTGATTATTGAAGTGCTTCTGACTTCCTTTCAGATACAGATGTAAGTGAGAGCGAAGCTTGAAAAAAAACAAAGGAGAAGCCGGAAAAACAAAGAAGCAAATAATTCTTTCAGCAGCCTAAAAGACAAACTGCCATGTTTAACTATTATCATCACCTTTTGGACTATTATGAACTCAAAATGATGAAATGACTTTCTAACAGGAGGTTATATGTGCTGATAAAGGTTAAAGATACAGATGAGAGGTTTGCACTGACTGTGGGCTATATGATGCGTGTTGTTTTTGAACCCAAATAAGGACTAAATGTATGCTGTGTGTTGTTTTTCTGTAAGTAGTAACATATCAGAAACTGTGATGTTCTGAATGTGTTCATATATGTTGCATTTATTTATTTTATATAATTGCAGATGTTACAGAAGGCTATTTTTCAATAGAAAGGTTAGTAATGAACATTTGTACACAAGCATTTATATGTATAAAGAATCTGATTTGTGAGAAGTTTTTCTCATTTGATATGTGATACATCTTTACTTTGACATTTCCTCGAGCGAGAATGACGTTGACTGAAACTTTCTGTTCGAGTTACCATTAGTTCCCTTTTGGCAGTGGAAACGTAAGCCTGATAAAGGTGACCTGTACAGACCCGTACCATACCACTCAAAAAGACCAAAAGACGCATTGGGTGTGAATAAGCAATTACTTTGCTTCTTACTGCCATGATGATAAGTTTTGAATATTTTAGCTCATCCATGAACGTGATTTTTTTCAGGAGTCTCGTTGGATGTAAAGAAGATGCTGGATGTTGGATGTCAATCTACGCTTTTGTTTGTAGTGAATATGCGCCCTCTATTGGTGAAAATTACATATTGTGCCTTTAATTATAACTATACAAAAATAAGTGCTCAAGAGTGATTGCACGTCATACCTTTGACTTTTTTATTAAAGCGTTTCTGCTTCTGCACCTCTTTGTTCTCCTCTCTAGTCTCCTTGGCCTCTTCCAGAGCCTCATCACTGCCCCAGACCTCCACAGAGCGTTTCTCCACCTTAACATTTGGTAAGAAAAAAGAGCTGTTATTGCATATGCATGCACAAACAAAAATCATCAAATCAAATTAAATAAATAGTTAATTAATTTAACAGTTCAACTTTAACTATTGTTTAATTCATTTAATTTGATTATATTGACTATGTTAATGCTGCTTCATAAATACAGCAGTTATCATTATTAAACTCTTGCTCATAGAATTATTAATTTGTAATGAAAATACAGTCTCCACAGATTTGTAATAACAACCCTTAAATTGAAATGATATTAGCCAGAAATGAGCCAATCAGAAAGATTTCTGAAGGATCATGTGGCATTGAAGGTTGGAGTAATAATGCTAAAACGTCCAACATAAATGCATTACATGTTAAAATCTTTATACAAATACACAACCTGAAAAACTTGTAATAATATTTGACTGTTTTAGTAATAAAATAAAAACAGAAAAAAAGTATTACCGTTTGAATGCATCAATATATTATTAAGTGCAATTTTTATATATCAACTTGATATTCTTAAAAACTGATGTATTGCCCCTTTCTAATTTTTTAAGGAGACACGTATATCTTAATAGTTTTTTTCTTAGTAAAATTTATTTATTCTATTGTTTTTTTTTATAATGATTAATGTTTTCGTTATCTTATGTATATTTTTATTTTATTTTTTTATTGATATTTTACCTTATCAATATTATGTATATTTTATTTACAGTGTTATTTTCTGTCTTACCTAGTATGAACCTAATAAAGCAAAAAAAAAAAAGGGAAAAATAATATCATTAAGAATAAAATAGTCATTAAACATAGAATTAGAATATTAAATCAATACCAATTGGTTAAATTATTTTTGTTAAATGCTAATTTGTTTGACATTCACTCAATTACCGTACATAAAATCCAGACATTTATGCCATGGGAGGGATATTTTTAGAGACATTTCAGATTTGGGGGTGGTGTCATAATTAAAAAGGGTTGTTTAAAACTATAGTTATGGCAAAAAAAAGACGTTTCAGTTCTTATATTTTTTAATAATTGTATTATTATAATAATTATAATATAAATAATTATAATATAAATAATAAATTATTGCATTTTATGAAGTGTCATTTCTCTCCTTCTGGTTCAACTCATATTGACACTTACTGCACACTAGCTGACAAGTCTTGTCAATCCCAGTTGTAAGAGCAACAAATATTAACTTGACGTCTAGTTGATCAGTTGGAAAAATGGAAGAAGGTAGAATTTTTCTGATGAATCATCTGCTGAACTGCATCCCAATCATCATAAATACTGCAGAAGATCTGTTGGAACCTGCATAGACCCAAGATTCTCAGAGAAATTAGTCAAGTGTGGTGAAGGAAAAAATCATGGTTTGGGGTTACATTCAGTATGGGGGTGTGTGAGAGATCTGCAGAGTGGATGGCAACATCAACAGCCCGAGCTATCAAGACGATTGTGCTGCCCAATACATTACAAACCACAGGAGAGGGCAAATTCTTCAGCAGGATAGCGCTCCTCCTCATACTTCAGCCTCCACATCAATGTTCCTGAAAGCAAAGAAGGTCAAGGTGCTCCAAGATTGGCCAGCCCAGTCACCAGACATGAACATTATTTAGCATGTCCGGGAAAAAATGGAGGAGGAGGAATCGAAGATGAATCCAAAGAATCTTGATGAGCTGTAGGAGTCCTGCAAGAACGCTTTCTTTGCCGTTCCAGATGACTTTATTAAGAAGATATTTGAGTCTTGCAGAGATGTATGGATGCAGTCATCCAAGCTCATGGGAGTCGTACACAATATTAATCCTTTTTTCACTGCACCATGAGTCAGACCTTACTGTCCTGATTAAATCATTAAAAATCAAGGCATGATGATTTTTTTTTTTGGTATAATATTCTAATCTAGAGGCCTTTGCCTTTCATATAAGCCACTGATATCAAATGATCAACTAGAAGTGAAGTTATTATCTGTTGCTCCCAAAACTAATAATAATATTATTATTATTATTATTATTATTATTAAAACTGAGATAGGCAACAAGACTTTTGTCAGGTAGTGCATGTAAGAGCTAATAAAACAGATATGGCATCCGGACAGTACCTGTTTTTGAGAAAATGTTTTAAAATATACCATAATTTTTTCAGCCATATAATTATTGCAGCTAGTTGTACAGAAAAAAATTGTGTTAAAAATGTAATAATTATGTACCAGCTTAATTTTAAGACATGATTTGAGTTTAATATTTGGGTTGAATAAGATCAGGTTAATGTCAAATCTCTGTCCAGAGGATGTGTTGACCCTACCTGTGTCTTTAAGTAGAGTTTCATGTCTCCCCAGCGTGGATTGTGAGGATTTTTCCTCAGGATGAATCGCAGCGGTGGCTCCCTCTTATCCAGATCACAGTCCTTCAGGAGGTAATTCTTTTTCGCTTCCGTGCGAGATATTAGCTTGTGCTTTACTTCATTGTCTCTATGCAAACATATGCATTTATAAATGAATTTCTCATATACAATATAGTGCTTGTTTTGAAGGTTTTTCGAACGGCAGGTGCACAGGAAACACAAAATCAGACCATAACTGAAATACTAAGACAAAAACAACTGGTGTTTAACAACAGCACCTGGCAGTAACTACTAGTCTCTGTCACACAGTACATTTCTAACCCACTATGACCACACATAGAGTGAATATGACATACCTGCATTTATCACACACAGACAGATCAAAACTGTTGCTCAGATAAGAATCCATAAATGGCTTTTGACACTCTTCGCACATCAGATAATCAGGCTCCATCACTGGGGCTAAAACACACACATGACAATGCAAAGATGTCACTAGGTTTGCAAATTAATTACAAGAGCAAACTATATGGAATATTATATATATATATATATATATATATATATATGGAATATATAAAACTATAACTATAAATGTTTTCAAAAGTATTTAGTCAAATACTTGTAAATGCATTTGAGAAGGACAATTTACTCAGTATTAAATTACATACAGGTTTTACTTCACACCTGTTCGACTCAATAGAATGGTTTGGCAAATAATAATGTTTGCTTGAAATGTCAAAATGAAAAAGGCTCATTCATTATGAGGAAGCCAACATACTGTTACTGTATACTACATAAACATATTCTTCTTCCATCTTCTTCTTCTTAGACTATGTTAAGAACGCATCTCCTGCTAGACCGTTCATACTACAACCACCAAACTAACTCCAAACTATACTGAATTAAGTTGCTATATCTTTTCCAACTGATCTGACTTACAGTTTTCCAAAAACTGACCCAGAAATTCAGAAAAGTCCCATTAACTTAACATTGGACCAAACTTTGTGACCTCATAGCTTTGCGCCAGACTGTCATACAGAAGTTTGGGCTCATTAAACTCAGACTATCAATCTGCTAATCTCTAAGGACCTTTCAACTTACTAGCCACACCCTAGCAACCACTTACAGCACCCTAGCAACTGTCCCATAGACTTCCATAATTAAAACAAAAAATTGCCATTGACTTTACATTAGACATACTAGCAACCTATCAATTCAGGCTAAAACATAATAATCCACACAAACAATATACTAATCCATATTAAAAACATACTAATGACATACCAATCCACACTAGAAACATACAAATCATACTAACAAACATAGTAATCTATGCTTAAAACATACAAATGTATGCTAAATTCATGCTAAGAACGTGCTAATTTATGCTAGAAACATACTAGCAACATGCTAATTCATATTAGAACCATGCTAATGTTAGCAACTACTCAGAACACCTTAGCAAGCCCCTAGCACTCAAAACACCCTAGTAATGCCTTAGCAACCACTGAGAGCACCCTAGCAATACCTTAGCAAGCACTCAGAACACCCTAGCAACCATACAGAACAACCACTAGCAACCACTCCGAACCCCTATCTACCCCCTAGCAAGAGACATGCCAATCCATACTAGAAACATGCTAACCTATATGTACTTATCTATGTCAACGGTTTCAAACTTCTTAAAAACTACTTCAGTTATTGAAACTACTTCAAACTTTCAGACTTGGCTTTCTTAAGCAAACAAAGTCTGTCTGCGAACTTTACTTTTCTAGTTTAATGTTAGTACTCTCAGGCTTTATTGCAATCTTTAATCTGAACGAGCCGTGAATTTACTTAACTAATAACACAAAACACACAAAAATAGCAAACACTTTACTTTACATGCTGTCGTTAATCTGTTTATACAACATGGGGCTCGGAAAGTTCTCAAAATATAATATTATCCTACATTTTTTTAAAGGAAAATGAAGCTGTATGTTATATTGGTGGTTGTTAAATGCAGAGCTTCTCTTTAAAAAAAGGTGAAAAAACACCTGCGAGCTCTGAAAGAGATCAAACCTCAGCCAGATAAGGAAAAGTAACGCAAAAGTAACTCAAAAGTAATGTAACGCATTACTTTCCATAAAAAGTAACCAAGTAACACAACTAGTTACTTTTTTGAAGGAGTAACTCAATATTGTAATGCTTCTCTTTCTAAAGTAACTTACTGCTATTCAGTTTGTGCAATAAAATAAAGCAAGTATGGTAGTTTCAAAAACCTGGTTGTTGAACGACTCTCTTCTCCTGCTGCTCGTCCTCTGTTGTCTCCTCTTCAATAAAAAACCCAGCACCAGAGTCTATAGTTTTTGCCACTTTAGCGTGAGTAGCTCCTGAAACATATTACATTCATCACACAGTATTAATTAAATTAAATTTGTACATGTCTTGTGCAGGTTTTAAACAAAAGTCAGACCTTCTACAGCGGAGGACGGTCTGCTGGCGAGTCTGGCTTGTCTGAGCATCAGCGCCCGTTGGCGGTTTCGCTCAATTTTGGCCAGCATGTGTGGTGTTAAAGACATGCTGGACTCATTTGAAGAGTTTGCAGAGTCTGGCGATGTGTGTTGACAATGACTGGCCTCTGGCATCTCCATGATCAGCCTATAACCAACAACAGTTTACACTCACAATAATAATCAGGCAGAAGTTCATTCAAACACAATGTCTGAAGACAAAGGAATAACAAAATGAATAAGTAAATACATATCTTATTGAATGTGAATATCTACACATAAACTACATCACTTTTAACAATTTACATACAGTCAAGCGTGAAATTAAATGTAGTTGGTCATCAATTTAATACTTATTTGGTGAGCAAAAATACTCTATGCAAATTAACCATAGTTACTGTAAAACAAACAATAGGAAAAAGAAAAAAGCACATGGTTTTTTTGTTGTTAAACCATGTTCAAATCCAAAACACACCGTGGTTTTGCTACATTAACTATAGTTGTATAAAAGCATTTTAATATGCATAAATACATAAAATATTACAGATATCCCAAGTAAAATGTAATATTTTAGAAATGTGCCGTTTTCACAAAATTATTTATACAGGATACTTGGAAATCTTGGTTACTACAACATATACCTTAACACTAAAGCAAGAGTTTGAGACTTCTTACTAGCGAGGTGTTCATGAAGATTTGTCTTACCAGATCAGCGTTAAGTCAAACGAGAACTTAAATGAAAATGTTAATAATATCAGTCCAGCGTTTCGGTTCTGTTTTGTGTTCAAGAGCTATGTTGTGGTTCTTCTCTTCTTCTTTGGATATTTCGCACCACAGAACCAGCATCGCCATCTTGTGGCATTTTCAATGGTTCCATGGCTTTGCTCTCGCTCATATACCCTCATGTCATGTATAAACATAAATTCACGTATAAAGAACTAAGTAGCCGTATTTTTATTTTGTATGCAAACCATAAGCGTAGAATGTACAGATATTTGCATGAATATGGACGTGTGTTGTGATTCAAATTCTGATGCAAATAACGATCAATGTGTGTAAGAAAGATGGAGGACAATCGTCAGAAAATTTTTGTCAACAAATCTGGCAATTTAATAATATTTGTAACGACTGTAGAGAATAAAACAAAGCATATTTCACCTACTACAACTGAGGTAAGATTTTATGCGCTAAATAAAGAATTGTATACGTTAAATAAAGAAAACTGTACCTATTTGATGTACAGCTTCCTGCTGTATAATCACTGTTTTGATAAAAACGGGTCGAATAGTTGTATATATAGAAAATTTCTTTCTTTCTTTCTTTCTTTTTATTTCTTATAGCTACAAGAAAAATGGCCTATTTTATTTTAAAATCTGGCATCCTGTTTGTTATTCCGATTCATTTTAGCTTTAACTTTATCATTTTAACTTAATAGAAAAAATCAAGAAAACAATACAAGTACATTCTTCTATTATATATATATATATATATATATATATATATATATATATATATATATATATATATATATATATATATATATATATATTTAGTTTAATTGAATTTGTTTTATTTCGTTTAAAATATTCATATTTATTTTAAAACCCTGCATCAAGTTTGCAACCGTAATAAATTCAGGGGAATAAAGAATATATATTCAATATTCATTTCATGAAAATATTAAAATATTATAATTTATGTTAGCCCATCTGTGGAATTTTAATTATTCTTCAGATATTTAAAATTTATAATTTAAACTCATGTTTAAAATTGAAGGTTTCAACACATTTTAAACATAATAGTTTAATTTCAAATATCTATCTTTTTCTTAGCCATGATGAGAGTATATTACTTGATTTGTTATTTTGCAAGCTACTACACTGTAAAAACAGATTTTTAAACTGTATCAATATAACCCTATATGAGTCAGTTGAACTCATATTATATTAAACTGACTTAAAACAGCTTGTTTAACTTATGAAATTAAGTTAAAACATGGTTAACCTAGTTAAATAAGTTACAATGAATTAAATCATATGCTGTCATGAGTAATTAATCATGTATATTTTTTGCAGTGTAGTGTTCAACTTAAAGTGCATTTTAAAGGCTTAACTTGGGTAATTGGGCAAGTCATTGGACAACAGAGTTTTTTTTTTTTTGAAGCCAAAAAGATCTTAAGTGGGCTAATAATATTCATTTCATCAGTGTTTTTCCATTTTATTTTAATAAATAGTTTTCAATACAGCCAAACTAAAGGAAATATTTTTAAAAATATGATAATCGAGATGAGAATTTCACAGGAGGACTACTAATGAAAATATCTGCATTTTATATTTTACTTTACTATTTTTTTAAGGATGCACCCGATGAAGCTTGCTTTGAAAGCACCAGCCAATCAGGAAGAGAAGAAGGAGAAATCCCAGAGGCCTCTCACACTTTAACATTGCCATTTCATCTGCTGGAGAGTGTTGTTGAAGGACTGCTGGAAAAACTCGACATTTTGGACACTGATCTTTCTGAAACACTTGTTTCCAGTCTAATAAAGGCACTGGCAAGCCTGGCAGGGATTAATGTTGATGTCTGCACCGCAGGCAGTTTTACAGAAGACACTGTTTTACAGATCAGAAATGAAGCTCTTGGCATCCTGGCACATAAGGTCAACGTGAAGACAATGAAAAGGCATGAAAACAATCTGGTTGTGGGCTACGTCACCGCTGTCCTATCTGCAGCCATCATTAACTACACGGTCATGCATCCTGAGGCACTAATGAGTTACTCGAATGAAAGCCTAGCCGGATCAAATGCTGAGTTTTCTGTCAAGAAAGATCTGATGGAGAGATGTGCTGCATCTCCATCTACCTGCAAAAGCATCAGTGAGATGTACCTGCATTCTGACCAGAAGGAAACAGATGAGAGATGCAGTGGAGACCAGAAAGCGGGCGCTGATACATCTCCTGATTCAGCTCTCATAGACGTCAGGCCGAGAGTGAAGAGAGGCATTCAGGGCTCTCTGTCCAAACTGTTCTCCTTCAAGAGCAGGGCCTTTCAACGAGTGACTCCTTCGTCTGAGGAAATCTGAAGAAACATTAATAAAATGTGATTATTTGATGTAAAAAAAAGTGTTTTAAACCATTTTTATATGTTTTGTTTTCAACTAAAACATTAATTCTTTCATTTTCTTGTCGGCTTAGTCCCTTTATTAATCCGGGGCCGCCACAGCGGAATGAACCGGCAACTTATCCAGCATGTTTTTACACAGCGGATACCCTTCCAGCCACAACCCATCGCTGGGAAACATCCACACACACTCATTCACACATATACACTACGGACAATTCAGCCTTACCAATTCACCTGTACCACTTGTCTTCGGACTGTGGGGGAAACCGGAGCACCCGGAGAAAACCCACGCGAACGCAGGGAGAACATGCCAACTCCACACAGAAACGCCAACTGACCCAGCCGAGGCTTGAACCAGCGACCTTTTTGCTGTGAGGCAACAGCACTACCTACTGCACCCCTGCGTCGCCTCAACTAAAACATTTTAAGTTAAATTAAAGTAGCCTGGGCGGCACGGTGGCTAAGTGGTTAGCACCAGGGTGTGAATTACAGGGGGGTTTGGGGGGTCAAACCCCCATAATTTACGCTTGATTCCTCCCTGAAGGACATCATAACAAGATGTATGGGGGTCTGCCCTTTAAGAGATATGAAATAGTTTGTTCTGTGTCTTAAATATTAATAATTAAAATAATATATAATTTAAATATACATTTGAACACTCCTGTAATGGACCAAACCATTGTGAATGCATGCTTGCGCCAAATTTATTTTTTAGTTTGAAACTGGCAAATGTAAAGCACCGGCAGACAGCGTGAGTGTTCACAAAACATGTTTCCCCTAATATGTTTGTTTAATATCACAATGGGGGATTCACAGTGGTGCAGTGGGTAGCACGATCGCCTCACAGCAAGAAGGTCGCCGTGTCGAGCCCAGGCTAGGTCAGTTGGCATATCTGTGTGGAGTTTGCATGTTCTCCCCATGTTCGCATGGGTTTCCTCTGGGTGCTCCGGTTTCCCCCACAAGTCCAAAGACATGCGCTATAGGTGAACTGAATAAACTAAATTGTTCGTAGTGTATGTGTGTGTGTGTGTGTGTGTGAATGAGTGTGTATGGATGTTTCCCAGTACTGGGCTGCAGCTGGAAGGGCATCAACTGTGCAACAAATGCTTGATAACCTGGCGGTTCATTCCGCTGTGGTGAATAAAGGGACTAAGTCAAAGGAAAATAAATGAATGAATATAAAATGTGAATGTGCGAAAGTTAACTAATCAAGATGTCATTGTTTGCCAAACTTCTAGTATAGGCTGCTTATTAAATATAAGTATGTGTCTGTGTTTATTTAACTTTTTCATCTTAAGATGTTCGATAAATACAAAGTTATTTTATGCATGTTTATTGTATCACTATGCTTTAGTCCACTGTTTCTCAACCATATTCCTTGAGTACTGCCAACACTGCACGCTTTGCATGTGTCCTTTGTCTGTCACACCCATTACAGGTCTATCAGTCTCTGCTAATGAGCTGATGATCTGAGTCAGCTGTTTGGTTAAGGAGACATGAAAATATGCAGAGCTGGTGGTCCGCCAGGAACGTGGTTGAGAAACACTGCTTTATAGTCGAACACGCAGGAGATGATGACATGACAGGCCATAGTCCAGAAATAAACTTTCGTCCAGCAGGGGGCAGAAGGGCCACCGTTCAATGTAAGAAGAGCAGTAGAAGAAGAAGAGATCTATTCACTTATCTACAAGAAGTTGATGCAGACTCTTTCATACTTCATTTATAACAGTTCTACTAGTAAAGACAGACTTTTTCTTACCACGGATTTACTTAAACATGTGGACTCTCTTTCGGAAACATACGTAAGACAAAAATATCTAACGTATATACTCTGTGGATATTTTGTAAAGAGTGATTTTTGGACTATGCACTGTCGTGTCATCCTCTCCTGCGTTACCCTGCTGCTCTCTGGAGTATTATTATCGACCAAAGCTGATGGGTCTGATGAAGAAATTAAACCCCCAGACTGGAGAAAGACCATAAACTCCATCCGGAGCGGGATTCACCGGATCGACAAGTACCTCAACATGGCTCTGGACCTGATCGGAGGCTCAGACGGCCAGTGTCAGTTCACGTGCGGCGACGGTTCGTCAGACATCAGTAATTCATACAGCTTGCATACAGTACACATTTAATAAAGGCTCTGCGTTTTATTCAAGTGGTAATGAGTTTTTGTCTCTCTTACAGGGTACACACCGGTTCCTCGTCCTAACTACAGACCACCTCCACCAAACGGATGTGGTTCACCGCTGTTTGGGTTTCAGGTGAGGAAAACAGTGTTGGATATTGACAGAAATGTGTCCTAAATGAAACATAGTAGTGGTGGGAGTAAGTCACACATGTGCAAGTCACAAACAAGTCTAAAGCAAGTTAAGTCAATGTTTGTCGGCCTCAAGTCAAGTCAGTGCTCATCTCAAGTCAAGTCAGTTTTTTGTCGATGTTTTTTAATTTTTGCCATTTATATTTGTTTATAACTTTAGGTTTTGTATGTAATGCATGATGTATAACAAACGGTTATTTAACAAAAACAAGTTATTTCATGTCATTTGTCTCAAATCATCACAGTCAAGTCCAGTTTTTTTATTTTATTTATTTTTTTAAGGATATTTGTCAAGCAAGTCTAAAGTCCTACATTTTGCGACATAAGTCTGACTTGCGTCAAGTCATGTGACTCGAGTCCCCTATCTCTGGTATATACTTACACTTATTATGTACTTGAAGGGACCAAAAAGGTCCTCAGTGTTTACTCTCCCCCAAGCTGTTCACCTTTACGAGTTTGTTTCTTCTGTTGAATAGGAATATATATATATATATATATATATATATATATATATATATATATATATATATATATATATATATATATATATATATATATATATATATATATATATATATATATATGTGTGTGTGTGTGTGTGTACACACAGTTTAAGTCTGAATTATTAGCCACCTTTGTTTATTTTTTTCCCAATTTCTGTTCAACGGAGAGATTTTTTTTTTCAACACATTTCTAAACAATAGTTTTAATAACTTATTTCTAGTAACTGGTTAATTAGGTTAACTATGCAGGTTAGGGTAATTAGGCAAGTTATTGTATAATGATGGTTTGTTCTGTAGACTATTAAAAACAAAATTTAGCTTAAAGTGGCTGATAATTTTGACCTTAAAATAGTTATTAAAGAATTAAAAACTGCTTTTATTCTAGCTGAAAAAAAAACAAATAAGAATTTCTCCAGAAGAAAAAATATTTTTAGACACTTCTGTGTTAAACATCATTCGGGAAATATTTACAAAAGAAAACAATTCAAAGCCGGGCTAATAATTCTGACCATTCAGAATTCTGTAACCATTGACTTCCATACTAGGAAAAACAAATACTATGGAAGTAAACAGTTACAGGTTTTTTTCAAATTGCCTTTTTTTTGGTTTTGTTTTTAATAGAAGAAATATTAAAATTGTTTGAAACAGGGGCGTGTAAAACTGAATACTTTTTGTCCTGATTTCTTGCAGTTTGATGTTGGGATCCCGTCTATGACCAGATGCTGTAATGAGCACGACCGCTGCTACGACTCCTGCGGCAGAGAGAAAAGCGACTGTGATGAGCAGTTCCAGCTCTGTCTGGAGAACATCTGTCAGAACTTACAAATGACACTGGGCTTGTCCCAAAGCGTTCAAGGTAAGTCTATACTTTAGTTTTATTGCATATATACAGTTGAAGTTAGAATTATTAACCCTCTTGAATTATAAGACCCCCTGTATATTTTTCTTCCCAATTTCTGTTCAATGTAAATAATTTTGTCAACACATTTCTAAACAATAGTTTTAATAACTCGCTCATAATAACTGATTTCTTCTTCTATCTATGATGACAGTACAGAATATTTTACTAGATATTTTTCAAGATGCTAGTATTTAGCTTATAGTGACATTTAAAGGCTAAATAGGCAAGTCATTGTATAACAATCGACAAATATATTGCTCAAGAGATGCTCATAATTTTAACCTTAAAATGAAAAACTGCTTTTTATTCTAACAAATATAAAAACAAATAAGACTTTCTCCAGAAGAAAAAAATATATTATGAGGGAATACTGTGAAAACTTCCTTGCTCTTTTAAACATCATTTGAAAAATATCTGAAAAAAGTGTAATATTAAAAGTAAAAAGCAGGGCTATAATTTTGACTTCAACTGTATTTATTTTATTGTACTGTCCTTGTGCAGTAAATCAAACCGTATTCCCGTCTTTGTTTGGACAGCCTGTGAATCAGCAGTGACTGTGCTCTTCGATACCGTCATGCACTTGGGATGTAAGCCGTACCTGGACAGCCAAAGATCAGCCTGCATTTGCCACTACGAGGAGAAGCCTGATCTGTAAATGGTTGAAGAGTTGATTCAAAAATGAAAAACACCTCACTGTTCACTCTTCCTCATGCGGTTTAAATCTTTACAGTTTCTTTTGTTGACGGCAAAAGAAGATATTTTGAAAAATGAGTGTTGATTGTACCCATCAACTTCCATAGTTTGGTATGGTATGGAGTTTTCTGTGGTAGTCAGCAAGTACCAAGATTTTTCAAAATAACTTTGTGTTCAACAGAAGAAAGAATAGGTTTTGAACAAGTGAATGGTGAGTAAATGATGACAGAATTGCTTTTTTAAGAGGTGATGGTTTGTTATTATCTCAGGGTACAGCACAGCTCACTGCTTTTGTTAGTTTTTCTTAATTATTATAATGTGAATCAATACATTTTAATATTTACAAAAGAGGTGCAATTATTTTTGTAATTTATATACAAACAAAAAGTAATATATAAATTGACATGTATATACTGTACAGTATATTATTATGTATACAGTGCATGTCTGTATTTAAATTTATACAACAGTTCTGTCTGGATCTCAAATCTGATTGGCTGATAGCCGTGATATATTTAAGTAATATCAGCATCCGTACAGCCTCTTTACCCTTTGTGTATTACTCCGCCCACATACAGCCAGCAACAAGCAGACACTGCAGTTTGACAAATATTACTGCCGTTAGACGACAAAATATACTTTTGAGGGTTTTTTAGTCGAGAATTTAGTTGTTTAGATTGCAACTATGCAGTTTATTTGCAAGAATAGTGCCAATTTAAAAAAAAAAAAAAATTCTGAGAGCTCGTCGGTGGCGGTTGACGTTGTCTATCCACAAGATAGCGCCAGAACCGCATAATAAGCCCTTGCTCAGTGTGTTCTCTGAGCGCGAATGAAAACCTAAAAAATGGAAGCTTTGTGGTTTTTAAGGTGGACCGGATAGAGTCAATAAGAAGCTGGATTCAGCCTTGTCCCTCCTTATCGCAAACACAACAGCAGTCTGGTGAGATATCTCTGTAGACGGATGGCATTTCATGTCACATTCAGCCTTATAATCTTAAAATTTGAGCAAAATTAGCTGTTTTGTCATCACCTTAAGGGGGTCACACACCAGAAGCACAGCTTCACATTACGCTATAGAGAATCATTCAAATACTAGCTCTAAAGTGACGTTGGTGAATTAGTAACAGCTTCTGCTGTTCTGACGTCAGCTGCAGATGTGAATGATGCGAGATGTGAATTCCTAATACAAAAGGGTTTTAGTCTCTCTGTGGTTGATTTTTTTTTTTTTATGAACAAGATTGTGCCGTTGAACTGTTGTATAAATGCAATATCACACTCGTAGCAGTGTGCTATGGCTGTATATCAGCACTGGTGGGCGCCAAGGCACTCGGCCTGCCACCAGTGCTGATATACAGTCATAGCACACTGCTACTCATGTATTAGTATTTAACGGTTCAGATAACGTTTGTGAAAATAAAATGTTAATAATAAATGGGTGTAATAATGTTCAGACATCATTTAGAGGGTAACATATTTATGTGTAAATGAAACCGCATAATTTTCAGATCTGTACTTATTGCAACAGATAAATTATGCGTTCATATTTATGCTTACCATTTTTAATTAATAAAGCTGCTCTATGTAAGTTTTTGACTCCTTTAAAAGCATAAAAATACCACAATATGTTTGCAGATATTTAAGAAACATGTCAAGTGAACATTCTTGTTTATCTGAAAAACAATGCTGCAGTCAGATATTCTGCTTTTGAAAATGTTTTTTTTTTCCGACTGTCTTGTTTATGTTTTCTTAAACCTGCCCAATGCCAGTTTACCCAATTATAATTCAGCACCCCGGGTTGCCTTGGTGGAAAACAGCATATTTCATTCATTCAGTTATAAAGACTCTCAAAGCTTGCGTCCGTGACCGAAATGCGACCTCAGGTGGACAGTAAGACACAGATTCAGAGTTCCACATGAGGTTATTAATTAGCAAATAATTTGAACATAAACATTAGGTGAGCACTGAGCAGGTTCATCTGTAACCCTGTGTCCTAACAACACGCTATGTGATGAGATTTGCAGTGATACGCAATTTGGCTGTTTGCGCCAGTGGAAACACAACAGGAATTCAAATGCAGCCATTTAGAAGCACAGAACATGCACTCGCTCATGAAATGGTGAGGATTATAATCTAATCAATACATATTAAACCTCTTTAACATTATTAAACGTACATGCCGAATGACTGATAGTAAGTGACAGTTCTAAAGTTCAATTTCAAACGGTTTATTTTATTTTCCAGATCTGAGGTGAACTATCTGCTGCTGCTTTCAGTAGTAGGGCAATAAATGTCATGAAAAATGGCATTCAAACTCACACTGTTACCATTTAACACTGAATAAAGCACATGAGGTGTACCTGAGCTGATCAGTTATCCTGTTGTTCACCTGTGAAAAATAGAAGCCGTTTCTTATATGTCAATTCGAGGTGTTGGTTAGAACAAAACGGAAAACATTCCTTCTATTGTGTGCCAGTGCTTTTATTTAGAACACGACTTAAATCAGCATCACTGTTGGTATCGTCAATCTGGGAATCTGTTTTGATCCTAGTATGCAATACCTATTTCAACCACTGGGTGTCAAACTTACATTCTGCACTTAAAAAAAAAAAACTAGTGATTTTGAAGGATATCAGCAAAGCATGAGGATTCAAAATTAGCATTATTAATTATATATGATTATCATTAAATAGTTATTATTTGGGGTCTGAGATCTTTAAATAGTCATAAAAATATGCCATCTAATGATTATTGTTCTAATAGGCCCAAAATGATCATTATCTCTAAATTCTTAGTTTGCTAAGAATCATTATATAGTTTATCCTGGTGTGATGGGATACATTATGGTAAATATTAAATGAAGCTGACGGTGAACAATGTTAAGATTATAAAACAGCGTCATGGTTTGTAATATTTTCTTAGCAAAAACATGGAATAAATCTTTATATTGCACAACGCAGAAATGTCTTGATGTGCTTATAAAGATGAAGAAATTAAACTTCTAAAGATCTATACACAACTGTTTTAAGCTATGCTATGCTTGTAACCATTATCAACGTTCATCATCATTCAAATTCAATTGTGAGCCTGGACCACAAAGTGACAATAACTGTTAATTTGTATACACCATAGGGATAAATAAGCTTTTCACTGATTTATGGTTTGTTCGGACAATATTGCAAATCTGGAATCTGAAAGTTCAAAAACATCCAAATCTTACTAATCAGAAAATACAATTTGGAATAGTTATGTTAGGAAATGTCTCCATATAACATGATCTTTACTTAATATTTGAATGATTTTTGGCATAAAAGAAAAGTTGATCATTTTTAGAAATGTAGTCCAGGGTCACTATTTACTACTAACAGCACAATAATCACGTCAAGAAAAGATTTCCCAAACCATGATTTTAATATAAAAAGCATCAACAGTAATAGAGTGAGCCAGTGCACAACTTATGCTTCAATATATGAAGCATTTTGCATGTTTCACATGAGCTAAAGGCCTAAAAATTATATCACAGTATATCTTGGGTATATCAAGCTAATCTCTCAAACAAAACCACAACTATTTACATTATTTTTACAATATCTTTTATTTTTAAATAAAGTCATCATTATATGTCACCAGTGCATCAATATTTTCAAGAGAAAACTATTTTTAAAAGTAGATTTGAATTTATACACTGGGAGCTGATAAGACAAACTGAAAAATGATATCATTTAAATGAAGAAATATGTTGGAAAAATCTGGAGAACAAGATCAGCAAGTGTATTTACTGCTGACTTAAAATATATACAGAATTGTAGAAAATATGGATCGAGAATTTAAAACTTTGGGGAAAAATGCAGTGCTTCAGGATCAATTGCTTTGGTTTTTTTGTTTCGTCTATACTTGCACTAAACCCAGTGTGGAAGAAGGCAGGAGTTTTTCAAGCAGTTTAAGAGAAGAACTGCAAACCGATCCAGATCAATACCACACTACATCTGGACTTACATAATAGTTATGAATGAACAGCATTTGGAAACAGTTGTACATTGCCTGCCGATCACATCCAATCAGAGACCTGAAGTTGTGACGGTAGACACTCATCTCTCTGCAATCATCTTCTTTTAGTGGTTCCAAAACCTGCACCAGAAAACACCACAAATATAACAGTGACTTCCAGTGACTTACTCTGGGTAGAATATGTCACATTTTAATAAGGGAAGATGCTTTTAAAACCCAAAAGAGTACATCTGACACCTGTAAGGAAGTTTCTAGCTTCATGAGTTGGCTTTTACCTGAGGCGGTCCGTGTTCCTGAGCTTGTTTTAGGAGCTGGAGAAGGGTTGCTGTTATAAGTTGGTCCTGCGAAGCCCATCGGTGGCTGCCGTCTACATCAACATTAAAGTCAATTACTGTGGTGACATTTGCATTCATGCTATAGGCAGGTCCTTTCTTTTCAAAATGATGAACAAGATCTAAACTGAATTTATTAGGGTTGCAGAAAGTACCAAAGGGTGGGTTGTAAATTTGAACATTAATTGAAATATTTATGCAGACACATTTTACATATATTTTTAGACTGAGAGGAAACCAGAGTACCCGGGAAAAACCTACACGAACACGGGAGGACATGCATACTCTACACAGAGGGTGCTGACTGTCTCAATTAGAACTTGAACCACTGGCCCTCCCACTGCGAGGTAGCATCGCCAGCCGCTCTGTCGCCCAATCATAGAACTGAGGAGGAGGGAGAGGGGAAGGATGGGGGGGTTCCAAAACGAAGACAGGGAATGAAGGAATTTTGGAATGATCCGATTAGGCTAGCTAATGATTAGCAATAAGAATCAACTGTAGTTGATCATATCACATGCTCCTCTCGAAATTAGTTTATGAAACTTCACTTATTTTATTGGAAATTTTATTTATTTATTTATTTTTTTATTTATTTGTCTTTATTAGGCATGGGTCGGTATATAATTCTGACGGTATGATAACCCTGGATAAAAATATCATGGTTTACGGTATTGAGATTACTGCTCTAAAATATATGTTTGTTTGTTTGTTTGTTTTAAATGTCTGGGTAAAATACAAACTTTTCCCCTTTGAAGACAATTTATTTTATTTTGAAAAACATAAAATAAAACATTTAAAAGCAGTAAACATGTCAGGCTAAATAAGTCAAATAAATCATTGATTTCTGCTTTTTTGTTAGTTTCAAAAACACTGATTCATTTACAATTTAGAAGAAAACTACTTTATCTTTTCTGCTGGAGAAACTGTTGTCTTAAAAAAAACAAAAAATACTTGTACGAAAGGTACAGCAGAATATTTTGTCGGGTTTAAAACTTTTACAAACCACAGTATACCTAGAAAACGGTTATCGTCCCATGCCTAGTTTGTGCAATATATAGTATATATATATATATATTGCACAAATATATATATATTTATTTATTTATTTATTTATTTATTGATTATTTTACTCTCAATGTGCTAGATGTTGTTTATTTGCATTTAATAAATCACCAAGGACCACAGTTTCATCTAAAATCCTCTTTTCAGTGTTCTATTAAAGACAAAAAAAAACTCATCTGACTCTTGAGTAGAGTAAATTAACACTTATCTTATTTTTGGGTGAACTATCCCTTTAAGTCAGCAGTTCTAGCATCAGTATTAAAATGGTGTAACGTAGAATTGATATAAAGGAGGATGATCAATTGTGCGAGACAAAACATGGGTTTCTCACCTCTGATTCCCAAACAAATATCCCAGAATTCCACCTGTGCCCATTCCAGTCCAGAATCCACCACCGCCGCCGCCGCCTCCACCAGGTCTGGTTCTACCAGTGAAACCAGTCCAGGAGCTCTGAGGTCTGGTGTAGGAGTCAGAGAAGCCGTATCCAGGCCTTGAGTTGGAGTGATCTGCTGAAAGAGCCCAGAACCCAAACTGATCACATACATGCTCCACCATTAATATTTAAATATTATGAACATCTCATGCACATCAATGCACTTTCAATAGTAGATTATGTGAGACAGTCCCTACACTTTTGGTTGATTTTGGAGATTGAAAATTAGGACTATTCCACTAAGAGATAATTCTTAACTCTTCTAAAGTTAAAACAATGATACTACGTAATCTAAAATTAATTTATTATTTTATGGCAAAAAAAGCTCTAAATGACAAGAAACATGATTAGTTGTTCACAGAATACAACAAAAATTATGTTTGACTCAAACACATAACTATAAATTGTTTCCACAGCTAATCTCTAATAGAGAATACGGCCTCCTAACATTGCTCATGGCCACACGTTCAGTACTGTTTTACACATGGTGTCCGCAAGGTCTTAAAAAGTATTACAAATTGATAAAGCATTTATTATTAGGAAATTAAGAGCCTTAAAAGGTATTAAAAAGTCTTAATCTTGTCTTGTTAGCGTTGTCCAAAGTGTTTGACTCCGAAAAAGTATAAATATATTTATTATCCTCTTAATATTAACAACAGTGTGCTCGATCTACACGATTGGTTCGGGCTGGGGTGCATTCGGCCAAGCTCCTCCGTCTGGGTGATGTCATGTAACTTGCAATAATGTGAAATGGGAAAATGTAAGTCATCTTTCTCCAAACAGGAGTAAGTAAAGTTTAAACAGTGGCTGAAGCCTGTCGCTGAAAACAACCACATGATTTATTATTTTAAGCTTTGTTTCTTCTGAGTTTATCCGAGTTCTGTTGCACGGTTGTGCTTCATTGATTTATTTAAATACAACTGTTTATTAACAACTGTTTATTAAGTTAAAGGTTTGATACTTATTAGAACTTAAAGTGAGGACGAGGTCTTAAATTATTCAGAGAAGGTCTTTAAAAAGTCTTACAAACGTATTGAAATTACCTTTATGATTCCTGCATATACCCTGTTACAACAGCAAATCACACCTTCACAAGGAGTTCTCTGCATATTTCTTACCTCCTGAATAATAATCAGGTTTAAACCCTGGCGGTGGCGGCCCCATGCCTTGACTGTTGTCCCAGGCCCCATTGGTGCTGTCATACCCCTGATCTCCACCAAAGCCCTGGTGGCCATTAGTGGGACTGCATAGAAACATCTTGTAGACCACAAACGCCACCAGCAGGAGGAAAGCCACCACTAAAAGCCCACCGACTCCATCTCCAGAGGGGCTGTTCTGATAGGAGTGCTGCTGATACGGGCCTCCGCCGTCGCCTCCTCCTCCTCTCTGCTGCTGCTTCTGATTGGAAAAACCTTGGAAGAAGTTGGAGGCAAAGCCTGAGAATCCAGACGATCCCTGCTGTTGCTTCCCTTCTGCGGTGAGCTCCAGCGTATATTCCAGACCACAGGAGCCTCGCAGCACATAGGCATCATTGGGGCTGTTATAACCCTCACAGGAGACCTCCACACGGCCAAACCGGTACAAGTTATCCATATCAGCCTTGCATTCCCACTGTGAGGAGAAAAAGGAGAACAGTTCAGAGATACAATTAGTAGGACTGCGAAAAGAGGTCTAGGTTTCTATCTCATCAGGTTTTATTTCGCACCTGACCGCTCCCGCTGTATACTCAGTCTTTGTTCCACCCGACCCGACCATTCCCGCTAAATTTATATCTGGTTTCCAAAATCTCACATTTAAATTTGGTACCACCAAAAGAGCAGATAAAACGGTAGGTTGTGCAAGGATTGGAGGCTAAATGTCAGTTTTGTTTGCCCCTATGTGATGAGACATGAGTGCTGCCTTAAATCTGAGGTTTCAATCTTCTGAAGCTGTTCGCACACTGGATGCGCTGCTCAGCACCACGCTAAAACTTTGAGGTGTTATCACATCATGCAAGGGTTAATTCTTTCTTCCATTTGCGTCTATGATACATGATTCCCATAGATAAGATTGCCTGATGTGGCTTTCCTAACAGTAAACTGACTGTTTTACTGTTTACATGTTTTCTAATGTAAGCTGAACATCCTTCAAGGACAGCACATCTTCACTTTGCTCTGCCATGGTAAAGCCCCCTCTGAGGACTGTTATGCAGATGATGTGTGCACAAACTGTGCAAAAAAACAAACAAAAAAAATAAGGTGCAGAAAGCACTGGTCATGCGCTGGCTATAACGGTGTTCAATAAAAATGAGGAAATCACAGATACTGTATGCTGTTCTGAAAAAACATCAGGACTCCAGAGAACTATATTGTAAGACCGCCCACTCCCGTTCAAACTGCACCAGAGTTACCGTGCTAATGCAGACCTCTACAGCGCTGTATTGGAAAAACATTATTTATATATACTTGTTTTTTTTCTGCAGCACTTAGTATGCCGGTTGAACCCCAATTCCAAGTGTTCATTGCTAATCTTACGCCAATCGTAATTGTTTGTTTTGGTTTAGTTTCAAACTTGCCAGAATAAAATATTTTATTTTTATTATAATCATTATTATTATTATTATTATTATTAACAGTGTTATAAATTGCACAGCCAAAAGTTTTAATATCTCAAGAAATACAAAAATTTTCAAAATATATTTTTTTGTATTTTCCTTTTAATTTATATTTACGTACAGTGTATTTGCCAATATTTCATTAATATAAAATGCTGACACTGTGAATTTTTTTCTGCTATACATACTACCATTCAACGTTATTGGCTGTGCAATTAATCGAAAATCCGATTTCGATTTTGGCTTCTAACGATTATGAAAAACCATCGAGATAAATGATTACTGCATAATATACCGCCCCCCTTTCCAGTTGAACATATTTGTTGCTCTTAAAAGCTCTTAAAGACGCATGCTTCTGTGTGTGTCTCATTCGCACACTGAGATGAGCAGAGCGCACACATCTAAAGTCATCTTAACGCGAGCGCTTTAATGGTCAAATAGGTGTCAAAATGCCGTGTTTAGGGATTATTCATATTAACCCTCATTTGTGTAATAAACAAAGGAGTTGAGGATCAAAAGACACGTGAAAGAGAAAGCATTAAAGTGACAGCGTGCAATTCCTGCTGCCGCCTGTTTTTATCATTAATCAAACAACATAAGGAGAAAATCCCTCACTGCTCTTGACTGAAGGACTGCTGTAGCTAAAGTGTTTTTCTTACAGTGAAGATGCTTAAAGCACAGTTTGTTTCATATTTTGATCCTATTGTATTTATTTCTCTTTCCTTTGCAGGGTGGAAAATAACTGTTTATATGCAGTTGAAGTCAGAATTATTAGCCCTCCTGAATATTAGCAACCCTTTTCCTCTCCAATTTCTGTTTCACGGAAAGAAGATTTTCTTTCAAATTATTTCTAATCATAATAGATTTAATCACTCATTTCTAATAACTGATTTCTTTTATCTTTGCTTTGATGACAGTACAAAATATTTTACTAGATAATTTTCAAAATACAAGCAATCAGATTAAAGTGCAATTCAAAGGCTTAATGAGGTAGTTCATTGTACAAGAGTAGTTTCTTCCACAGACAATCAAAAATATACAGCTTAAGGGGACTAATAATATTGACCTTAAAATGGGTTTCAAAATATTTAAAACTGCTTTTACTCTAGCCAAAATAAAACAAATAAGACTTTCTCCAGAAGAAAAAATATTAGAGGAAATACTGTTAAATTTCCTTGCTCTGTAAACATCATTTGGGAAATATTTATTTTAAAAAAATTCTCAGGAGCACTAATCATTTTGACTTCAACTGATAACCGTTTTAAATAATCATGATTACAAATTATGACCAAAATAATCATGATTATGATTTTTCCCAAAATCGAGCAGCCCTAAGGAACAGTATGATTTTTTTTTAGTTTTTTCGTAATTATTCATGCATGTTTTTGATCCAAAGTACAGCAAAAACAATACAATTAAAAACCCATATATATAATTCACATATACGAAATATATTACCTATGAAAATATTTTTACTATTTACTATTTAAAATGCAATTTATTCCTGTGATTTCAAAGCTCAATTTTGACATCATTACTCCAGTCACATGATCCTTTAGAAATCATTCTATCATGCTGATTTGATCTCTGATAAATAGAAAGATCCAAAATCAGCGTTTATCTAAAATAAACAGCTTTTTGTATCATTATGCCAAAAAGACTGGAGTCGGTGTCATATTTTTTGTGAAGCAATGATAGAAATGAATACTTTTATTTAGCAAGGATGCTCTAAATTGATGAAAAAAGATGCTGACTGTGGCTACTTCCTAATGGGTTGTGGTTGTTTTTAAACGTGTCACCTGTGCGTCGATGCCATCTGATCCTCTATTGTAGCACTGCACGACCTCTGGAGTAAAGGATCCGCAGCCGGCGGAGCCTCCGATGCACTGCAGCTGGGGAACAGGGCTAGAGCGGCGGGCCGTGGTGTAGCGTCCTCTGTACAGGGTCAGCACCTGGACATCACGAAGCAACACGGCCTCTGATGCAGAAAAAACATATTTGAAGAATTATATTGGTACACAAATTATACAATTATTCTTGTTATATATTACACACGCTCAAGAGTCTTTTTAATATTTAATATAATAATTTATTAATAAAGGGACTAAACTGAAAACAAAATGAATGAATGAATATTTATCACATACTCATGTTTCTGTAAAGCTCAAACCACAACTAATTATGTATCATATAAAATCTCTTTAAGATACACTTATAATAAAATAAAGGAGTTGGATTGGTTTGCATAATATTAATAAATTGTAATTCTAGTGTATTAATAATAATATACATAAGCGCTGCACAATATATCATTTGAGCATCAATATCACAATGTGCACATCCGCAATAATCACATCACAGGATCTGCTTTGTTAAAATGGAATTATATATTTTACGATTATATTTACCGGCCACTTTATTAGGTACACCTTTCCAACTGCTCGTTAATGCAAATTTCTAATCAGCCAATCACATGGCAGCAACTCAATGCATTTGGACATGTAGACATGCTCAAGACGATCTGTTGCAATTCAAACTGAGCATCAGGATGGGGAAGAAAGGGGATTTAAGCGACTTTAAACATGGCATGGTTGTTGGTGCCATTTGTTGAGTTACTGCAGAGTTTAACCATAATGGAGCAAACATTTATTTATTCATTCATTTTCTTTTCGGCTTAGTCCCTTTATTAATCTGGGGTCGCCACACTGTAATGAACTGCTGGAGCAAACGTTTATCATAGCTAAAAAATTTTAAAGTCCTATGAGAGTTTAAAGCATTCAGACATTTTCAGTAGGTTTTATAGAGAAGTTTTAAAACTATTTCTTTGCAGTGTTATTTTATATTGGATTCTTTCAACTGTTGTGCCTGAATATGATTTGACTAGCCTGAAAACCATAAAACACAGATTATTTCATTTTTATGTTTGCTCTATTGCATTTAGCTATACTTGTAGTTTGTTTATTACATTCCGTGCATGCTTTGTTCCCCTACAGAATTGTGCAAATCAACACAAAATTAATAGTTTTTTAAATTTGAGGTATTGAAGTCATCTGGTGAAATTGTATGTATACTGCAATACTGAGGTAAAGTTGGGTTTATAGTCACACCTTCATTCATTTTTAAACAGTGACAACTTGTGACACGGTGCATATATTTTACTTTGAATATTCAGTGTGAAACCGCATGCTAGTGTAACTTCAAAGCAACATTAGCCCTATTTAAATAAGTGTGAACAATGTTGTACTTTGTTAGTCATTGGCTGCTAGTATGTTTTCCCTATTTAGAATTTGCAAAGCATACTTTTCTGAAATTGAATTATTAAGAAGAAATTGTGAACATAAAACCAACTTTACCTCAATTATTGCAATATATATCGCAGATATACAAAATATTACAATTTCAGACTTTTCCATATAGGTAAAGTTGGTTTTATATTAGCACATTCGTTCAGTGATCACTAGCTATATTGTTTACCATGGTACTTTGAGTATTTAAACTGAAATCGCATGTAAATATGACTTAAGAACAACATTAGCAGTATTTAATTGACTGTGAACAGTGTTGTACTTTGTTAGTCATTGGCTGCCAATATGATTTCACAAATATGAATTTGCAAGTAATACTTTTCTGAAACTATTATTAAGAAGAAAGCCCGAATGTGTGAATATAAAACCAAAATTACCTCAATGATTTTTCCAATATCGTGCAGCATTGACATACATGTTTTACAAATGCTAGATATGTATTTTATATTATAATTTAACGTTACACTCTTCTTATATGTTCATACTGTCATCAAAATATCACATAAAATGTATAATATCATACTGACAAGGACTTGGTATACAAGCATATTGTGAACATTCATTCATTCATTTTCCTTCGGCTTAGTCCCTTTATTCGACAAGGGTCGCCACAGAGGAATGAACCACCAACTTATCCAGCATTTGTTTTACATAGATATTGTAAACATTTAAAACCGAAATAAACCAAACTGAATCCAACTGCAGTTTATGTATCTTCTATCTGCGACCTCAATTTTGATCAGGTTTGCCTATTTATATGTGAGGGTTATATTAGAATAAAGATATTGTCAGTTACCATCATTCCAGCAACTGATGTGAGGAACGACCAACAGCAAAAACTGCAGAAATAAAGCTCCAGAGACCCTCATTTCTCCGGTTATGATGGAGGATAGCTGCTTTATCCTCGAACAAGACGCTCTGAATAATGCCTCACCGACAGTCTGTACGTGGCTTTTGACAAAAAGTAAAAATAAAGTCTGATGTAAACAAGTGCAACTGACAGCTCAGTGCAACATCACTCTTATTACGCTTCCGTTTCCGTGTTTCTGCATCGCATTATCGCCATCTACTGGAAGAGGTGATGAAATACGAGCTATTGGCTATTTGCGTAATAAAAAACAAAGCGGAAAACTTTTTCAGACTGACAATAAGGTTAAGTCTCAAAATGGAGGTTCAATTTTAATATTTATTTGGGTATTCTTACTTAAATATGATTTATTTATCGCATATTCATCTGTGAGTTAAATGTGTGAAGGAATGGCTGTTAGAGTCGATAGCTAGACTCAACAATAGTATGATCCTGCACAACTGGAGTAGCTGCACTCTCAGGACCGCATGTTTAGGACCGCATTTTTAGGACCCTAGTTTTTTGCGAAAGCGCCACCTACCGGATTGGATGACATAGTGAAACTGCATTTCTAGGACCCGTTTTGTAACTGCGCCACCTACCGAATTGGATTATATAGCGGAAACTTTCAGGCACTTTTATTACAGAGGTTAAAGTGTAAAACGCCTGCTTTAAGTAACAATTTTAAAATGAAACAAATGAATTTACACCTAAAATATAAATTAATAAATAGAGTTGAGTGCCTTAAAAGTCTTAAATTCCTTGAAAAATACTGTATTTTGATGAACCCCATTACATTGAACTAATTAGCTCAGTATTAAGGAAAATAAATTGAAATCAAATGGGATCAGCATTTGCAGTTACTAATTTAAAACCAGGTTGTAAAGGTTTTAGAGAGACAAGACGCAAGGAAGATTCAAGAATGTACATTTATATAAATATCCACACTTTTATTTTTATTAATGCAATTCAACCACAAAAATGACTCCACTGTTTATTCAGTTGCTGCATTCAGACTGGCTGTAGACTTTAGCTCCTGTGAATGAGAGTGAAGAAGAAAGTTCAAGTATATATATATATACACACATATACATACATATATACATACATAAATACATACATATAAATACACACACACACACACACACACACACACACATACATACATATATATATACATACACACTGGGGTAAATAAGTATTCAACAAGTTCCCATTTTTCTCAGAAAACATATTTCTAAAGGTGCTATTGACCTGAAAACCAAAGAAAAAAATATATATGAATAGAAAACAAATCTAATTACTTTACAAATTGTTATCAACATCTGGTGAAAATTTCAAGTCAACAGCACCTTTATAAATATGTTTTCTGAGAAAAATGGAAATGTGTTGAATATTCAATTCAATTTCAATTAATTTTATCTTTATTTCTAAAGCACTTTTACAATGTAGATTGTGTCAAAGCAGCTTAACATTTATTAAATTCAGTTCAGTTCAGTGTGGTTTAGTATTCACTGCTGAAAGTCCAAACACTAAAAAAAGCAAATCCACTGTTGAGTTAACATATATACCAGTAACAAAAAGGCTCTTTGAGCATTGTGCAAAATTAACCATATTCTGACCTGTAATGATAATCTTTACCAGAAAGAAAGACCTGCTCAGCATCATCCAAAGACCAGCTCCTCAAGACACCCAGAGGATGTACGATGGCCTTTGAAAAAAAAATCATTAAATATGAACTAAAATACCACCACAGAACAGCAAATCATTTTACATGGATTCATAAATGAGTAGCACCCAGCATGCAGTTTATATACTTATTTGGCCAGACATTCCTCTGGAAAATGAACACCACAGATAATCTGCACTTCATCATAGATATGCTATAAACTCAAGAACACAGCTAGCATTTGTAACTGTATTTATAAACTGCTTATCAATGTCTATAAAATGTAGAGTTAATGCTAAACAAATAAAATATTGATAAATTAACTAGTTATTAAATGCTTAATAATTATTTATTTATAGTATGCAGATGTTATAAAGTGTTACTCAACAGTTTGAGATAACCTCAATGAAAATATTCCTGTAGTTTGTTTTCTTTTCCTCCTACAATGAGCCTAAGCAATCCAATCATATTGGCCATCACTTCTTTTTCGCCAGGTAAAACATACCTGATATAAATTAAAGATATGAGACTCTATATGGTTAAGACCTGCAGAATAAGCCTAACTTTCAGAATCTCATTCATCACTGTAAAACGATGACAAAACATCAGGCTAATAACACATACAGTATTGTGGGGCAAACAGGCAGTCAGCACAATTTTTAATGTGCTAATGTAATACAACGAATAACACGAATTCAGTAAAATATAGATAAATCTAAAACTCTTAAATCAAACGTGCTTTTACCATCTTAGTTTAATGCATGTCACTAAGCACATTAGCCGTTAAGTCAACAAGCCATTAAATCAACAATGTTTCATTAAACCATGGTCACGAGTTACGAACGACGTATAATCAAACTAGAAAACGAACTCTAGAAAATTATTAACAGTTATAGCAGCTCTCACTCTGGCTGTGTAAAATTATCCATATTTATTATTATAATATTTTATTCTTCTTCTGGAAAAAAAATCGTCACGTAACATTTTTGTCCCAGACCCTTAAAAGTGGGGTAAATCATGCAGGCTAATCTGGCATTTCTGCATAAACTCACAGTATAAAACAGCAGCATTACAAAATAAACACATACTTTAACAGTATAAAATAAAACTTAATAGAAAAATCGGTACTTACACTTTCCTTGTCATCCGTGTCGTCCATTAGCGCATCCATGATCCAATCCGACAGGTAACGCTGTCACAAAAAACTAGGGTCCTAAAGATGCGGTCCTAAAAATGCGGTCCTGAGAGTGCAGCCACTCCAGTTGTGCAGGATTACCCTTCTCAGACTCAACAGCACTTACCCTAGATCGGGGTGCGAATTACAGGGGGGTTAGGGGTATTGACCCTTCTAATTAACGCTTAATCCTCCCTGTACGACATTAAAACAAGATGTATGGGGGGTCACCCCTTTATTAGTAAGAAATAGCTTTCTCTGATCTCTAATCTATATCTTAAATATAAACAATTAAGAATGTATAACATAAATATACATTTGATCCCCCTATAACGGTTTATACCATTGTGAATGCATAACTGCGCCGATCAGTTCTAGGAGAAATATCATTCAACAGTCTGAAAGTGACAGTTGTTGAGGACAGATAGACACCTTAAGTATTCACAAAACACGTTTCTTGTAAAATAGGTGTTTATATCTGCATGTATCCTAAAAAAAGAAGAAATAAACACATAATTTGTACAGTTTGACCTACAGTAACCTCTAAAATAGTCACTAAATATCCCTCAAAAGACTGAGAACGTGTACATTTTAATAATAAATTAATTAAACATAAAGCTGCTTCACTGAAGCATGTTTTACTAAACTACTACCGAAAAAACGCGATTGCACATTGATTGCACACTGCCCTGGATATTAGATTATTAATTTATTTTGTGATCCTAAAAAGTGTCCAGTTATAACTGTCAATCATAAAATAAACTATGGGAAAAACAAGGAGGAACTAAGTTAACTCATTAGTTTTTACAAATTAAGTGAAATGAACATAAAACAATTAAGTTGGCCCAAAACAACTGAAGAATTGTGTTGTTTCAGCTCAATTTTCAATAAGTAGTTTGAACAAAGAGCAAATGTTATTTATTGAGTGTACAAGGCTATACTTAAACCCAAATTACAACTAAAATATTTATTTATTCATTTTCATTTGCCTGAGTCCCCAGTTTAACGGAATGAACTGCCCAGCTAAAGTAATAGTAAAGTAAATTAACAATAATGTACATGTAACTTAAACAACAATGTAAATAGCCATTCATTCATTTACCTTCACCTTAGTCCCTTTATTCATCAAGGGTCACAACAGTGGAATAAACAGCCAACTTACCCGGCATATGTTTTACACAACAGACACCCTTTCAGCTGCAACCTAGTACTGGAAAACATCCCTACACACTCATATCACGGCCAATTTAGTTTATTTAATTTACCTATAGCGCATGTCTTTGGGCTGTGGGGGAAACCGGAGCACCCGGCTGAAACCCTCACCAACACGGGGAGAACATGCAAACTCCACACAGAAATGCCAATTGACCCAGCCAGGACTCGAACCAGCGACCTTCTTGCTGTGAGGTGACAGTGCTAACCACTGTTGCCCAATGTAAATAGTGCTGGAAGTAAAAAATGTTTTTAGCTGGTCATCCAGACTGGTCTTAGCTGGTTTTAAAGCGGTTTTGTCTACTTGTTTAGCTGGCAAGACCAGCTGAAACCAGCCAAGCCAGGGTGGGAGACCAGCTAAAACTACAGTAGTCAACATCTGAAGTGGATCAAAGAAGATTTTCCGAATTGACAACAATGGGTTTTTTAATAGTTTTAGACAATTTTCATCAACTATGTGATCTACTTTAAATGTTGACTACTGTAGTTACTTTCAGCTTGAACCTGCTAAGACCAGCCAACTAGCAGAGGGTTCAGACGGCAAGAATAACATTCATATTCCTTCAGCTTAGTCCCTTTATTCATTAGGTTTCGCCACAGCTGAATAAACCGCCAACTTATCTAGCATATGTTTTACGCAGCAGATGCCCTTCCAGCTGCAACCCAGTACTGGGAAACATCCATACACTATTACATGCACACACACCCATAAACTACACCAATTTAGCTTACCTAATTCACCTGTATGGCAAGTCTTTGGACTGTGGGGGAAACCGGAGCACCCGAAGGTAACCCACGCGAACACAGGGAGAACCTGCAAACTCCACACAGAAACGCCAACTGACCCAGGTTATAAGTAGTTTAATAATATTACTAATAATATTAATATAATATTAGTAGAGTACTAAAAGCAAATGCTAAACCCTCAAAGATGTGAGTCGAAATTATTTGGGCAACAAATGCTTTCAAATACTACACATGAAGCCATTTTTGTTTAAGTTTAGAAATAATTTTATTTTGTCCATCACTCATGTAAATATACAGAAATTATGAATGGATAGATACATTTGTATTTAACTAAGAATAACGGTCAACTTCAAAGCTCCCTTTAGTACATTCACTTCCAAGATTTCATCCCATCAAGTGTTTTT